CTTTTGCGACTTTTTTCTATTTATCAGATACAGATCAACAAAGGATCACTTCGATGTACCACAGACTTTTACTTCAAGCTTTTAAATTATCATTATTTCGACATATGTATGCTTCGACATAGTAGACTACCCGGGATCTTCTAATTTTGAAGCGTAAATATAATGTCGACGCGTACAACCTTTCCAGGGTTTTTCCATTATGGGTGGAGTGGGGAGGATTCTGTGATCGTTTTTTCTACAAAAATTTGCTTATTCAAGTTTTTGCAAATGTTTCTATGTCGTCAAAAAAGTTCAGGTGACTAACTCTTTAAAGGTTCTAGCACCATTGAAATGTAAACATGTACATTAGACTAAAGATATTCCGTTAAGAATGCACAAGAAAGCATGTGTAGTCCCATCGCGTACATGTTTAAATCTATTATTGCTTTCGCGTACAAAAAGAAAAGACGTAAAAATCTCTAGCTTGAAGTATATTTAAGAAAAGTATTCGACACTGGTCATGTTCGAACAAAGAACGTGCTTTGACAGAAAACGTTGTGCATTCGTTGGTCTATTTTAGGACATGTAAGAAAATGTTTGTAATTTCTCACACAGAGTTGTGCAACGTCTCATTTTGGTCAGAAAAGTTTGCCGTACAAAGCTTCATGTTCAGAAAAAATTTACTGGCGTAAGTGTCCAGAAAAAATGACTATTGGAAGATCTTGTTTTCAAGGCTTCTAGAAATCTTGCTCGAAAAGCCAGTTCTAGGCCCGAAAGCGATACAGATTCTGAAAGTAGACACTCCAGGCTATCTTTCCGTGTGCTTGTCTCCAAAGTCTCCAGTTTCTTGCATGAATGCTTGAGAAAAAGCTCTAATTAAAATAGTCCGGCCAACTGCGAGAGAAACAGACTCGAGCGCAAAAAAGAAACGCAAATTTGGCGCCAAATAGCTCTAATTTGCTCTTTATCTTCCCGCTAGTTGTTTCGCTTCCAAAACCTGAAGGTATATTCAGGTTTTGTGAAAGAGTTGTCATATTAGAAGATTCAGGACTTTTATTTTGTCAGGACCTTTATTTTGTGTAAAGGTGATAAAGAGGGCCGCTGCTTGTATCCCTCAAAAAGGATTCCCAAAAACTAAACAACATTAGCGGATGATTGTTTCACCAAATTAAAGAGCAGTTTAAATTCTACAAACCTAATAGGATGACACTGTTTGAACTCTGATGTAGAAAACATTTTAAGAAGTTTCAAAGAAATACCGCCAAAAAGCAAGGGAATGCACTAGTATTTTGCGGTTTTTGCCATCAATCGCCGATTTTTTGGCAAAACCAATGTCATATTTAGAAAATCAGCAGCAAAACTGAATTGATTAATATGTGTTTTAAGTTTTGGGGCGAACTTCGATTTTTTTCGAACTTTTCGACCTAGATTTGTGCTGAAAAATGGAAGTTTCTACATCAGAGTTCAAACGGTGCCAACCTATTACGTTGGTAGAATTTAAACTGCTCTTTGATTTGGTGAAACAATCATCCACCAATGTTGTTTAGTTTTTGAGATATACAATTTTTAAAATATCGACCAATTTGGGATCGAGTTTTGAACGTAAAACGTGACCTATTAAGTGATGATTTTCTCTAAAACGGAAAAAAACACATTTGTCTAAATTTGTCAGAATTATCTGTTGAATATGGACTATCGATTGATGAGATCATTCGAAAAAAAAACAGCCCAATACCACATTTTTCGACCGACATTTTTTTCAATCAGGTAGACATAGCTAGCCGATGACTAAAAGTCGCTCATATTTCACTGATTATGGATGGATTTTCTTCAGGCTTGGTTGTCATGGTTGCATTGTTGTTTGAGATTCTTTTGTTGGTTGAATACGAAATACACTCGATATTGTAAGACAACCATTTGTTAATAAAATATAATCCATATTCAATGATTCTGGATGTTGTTGAATCGACTTTGTTCGTAATAGTTTAATATAAAATCAACTTGGTTTATCGATGGATGCAACCATGGTCGAAATAACCGATGTTGATTCTGGTTGTTGTTTTGAAAACTCCGATTACAGCTGAGAAGGCCTCTCCGTTAGGTGTAATCCAGTACCCTAAATACTTAAAAACTTTGATCCATTTAATTTGACGTAAACCACAAGAAATATGAAATTTGGGGCCTCCAATTGCTCGAGCTGACCAGATAGCGTCCGTTTTTGTATAGTTTATTGGCTGTAAATTTGAAATAGCGTACGTACATTTCCAAATTCTGAAAAATACTTTCAATCGTTTTTCAAGATCTATACATTGCTCGTTATATTTTACTACAATTCTGCCAGTTAGCACTGCTGCAAGATCGTCCGCAAAAAAGCACGAGACAATAGCTCAATAAATCACCCATGTCAGAATGGTAGGCGATAAAAAGAGTTGGAGTAAAAGTCGATTGAATTTCTACAAATGTGTGTCTTTTCTCTAACCATGTTTTGATCCATTTTGAATAAGCTCGATGAAGAAACGTGAGTGTGTAAAGTTTTGTTATCCTCGAGCAAAGAAAATAAGAAATAAAATTCTAAAACAAATAGCTAATCAGACTGATATGTGTAGGTGTATTTATTACTGTGTGAAATGCACAGTTCCTTGTTTGCGTTAGAAAGATCGAAGGCATGTAACGCCGTAGAAGTGCCTTGTTCTTTCCACTATGACAGAATTACTGATAATGATAGTTTTTATAGCAGAAAAAACAAAGAATTACATTATTATTATTACTATTATCAATAACTGTGTCAACATTCATGGTCAACCATTATCAAGTGCCAACATGAATGTTGTCACCTCAGAATGATTGAAGCAAAGAAAAGAATTTTAAAAAATCAGAGCGAAATTTTTGCTCTAAGTAAGTCTGGGTTTGTTACACTAGGAAACTGAAGGCTTTTTAAGCTTTTAAGCTTCCAACTCATATGGAAAGGGTATGAGTTGAGCTCACAAATCTCTAATTTTCCCTTCTTAGAGTATAAAACTGCTATGAAGAGCATAATACGACCTTGTCAAAATCGATATGAATGTTGGTTTATTTCGAGCTTTCAATGCATAACTTACATCATCATCAGGAAATGCCAGGAAATGAAAATATTGACAGCATACATACATCAATGAATCAACTCCTTGTGCAACATAAGAAACATAATAAAGTCATGCATAATCAGATGAGTTCGTCCAATTTGGATTCACCATTTTGAGCTCGATAGGAAAGAAAACAGTATAATAGATGAGAGATCTATCGATCTTTCTCTTACTTCACTATTCCAGTTCTTCGATTTGGTCAGCTGACTAGTTTTCATCGCTTCGTCACAACGAATGATTCTATGCTTCGAGTCTTAATTCTACATCGCTCTATTGGACGCATATATATATCAGTACGATATAACTCTTGTTTCGTTAATGCTACTACTATAGTTAAAGACCGTCCCTAAGATGGCCAGTTAGACTGGAAGCAGAAAGATTTTCCTCATTCATATTTGGATATCCCAGACACTGCCCTGTTAGTTGCCACACACCCTTTCCTCACACAATACTTTTCCATAATTTTTCTACTGCAATAAGAGTTCGATTGGAGCGCAGACTACTTTATAAAATTAAACTTACAACGCACTAGCGAATGTCTCACAACAAACATAATTTCGCTTTAAACATGTTCTCACATATTTTAGGATCAATACGATAAGCCAGAATGACCCGATATCAGACATTACAATATAATCAAACAAAGTGTCGAATTTCAATTCGGATTATCGATGATGTTGAATGTATTCTACTGGAAGACATCCATAAAGCAATATCCACTCGTATTATCGCTTTAATAAGATCCAATAATGATGCAATAACATGTGAAAGAGATCCGAAAGGAAAAGAATTAGATCCACCAAGATTCAAAGCATATTCAGATGAAGTACTTGATTGTTATATATCTGATACTGACATAGCGACAAATTATAAAATACACAAGAAACTTGATCTCATGATTGACAATCAAGATGAAATATTATCATGATTAGATGTTATACTACGTCAAGCGTACCAATTAGCTGAATTTACCGTACCAAGATTCTTCATTATAATGATAGAGAAAAAGTCACGATTGAACCCAGATAACCTTCTACACAGTACATATCGTTTATTCTTCCTTTGTGAATGTAACAAAGATGAAATGCATTTAGCTTATCATGAAGGCTACATAATCAATCAGCCAAAAGAATTTTTCATCAAGTATGGTCCTTATGTCAAAAACATGATTTATGCTTTTAAAGCATTTGGTACTGTCGCGGGTTTTATTCTTCCCAATTTCGCATTCGCTCAACAAGTACCTATACCGAACATACTCAAAGATGGAGAGTTTTGGAATGATTTCGCCGATAAAATGAATACAGTCGACAACGTTGTGAATAATCTCATGGCTAAACCAACTGATATAGCTATGAATCCAACTGGTTCTCAAACATATGAAGGTGCTGATTTAAGACAATTAGAAAAATTCTTCAAGAAAACAGATGATTGTCGAACATTGGGCAATTTGTATCGAACAACTACTGATGAAGGACATGTAAGATGGGTGTGCATAAAACATTTTAACGAAACCTACAGTAAAACACGCATGGAGGAGTTTATAAGATTGTTTGAAGCTATGGGAGGTGAATTTTACCGACAACAGGATCAAGCAATTTTAAAAAAAGCAGTAAATATAAAAATGTTCTGTGAATTACTTAGCAAAGGCTTCAACATGTATAAATTATCCTTTATTTCGTACGAGATGCGTGAAAAAGACTTTGTTACTTTGCTGGAAGCGATCAACCGTTCATTCATTAAAGAGTTGGAATTGAGCAACATCAAAATATCACCACTAGTCGGATCAAAAAAAGCCTCATTATATATAATAGAATTAATTGAGAAACATTTAGGAACAAAACAGTATTTAACAGTATGGTTGGATATCCCGAAGTGTGATGCGATGTTCAATCAACCGAAATTTGCACAAAAGCTGTTAACTGATCATAGTAATATCATAATTAAAATTGATAATAAACCATACACAAAGCAGACGGCGCTTGACTTAAGAGGCGACGAAATATCAGATGATGGAGCTAAAGCTATTGCCACAGCACTCATGACAAATCAAACATTAACAACACTTGACTTAGCCGACAACCAAATATCAGCTGATGGAGCTAAAGCTATTGCCACAGCACTCATCACAAATCAAACATTAACAACACTTAACTTATGGAACAACAAAATATCAGCTGATGGAGCTAAAGCTATTGCCACAGCACTCATGACAAATCAAACATTAACAACACTTGACTTAGCCGACAACCAAATATCAGCTGATGAAGCTAAAGGTATTGCCACACCACTCATGACAAATCAAACATTAACAACACTTGATTTATGGAACAACCAAATATCAGATGATGGAGCTAAAGCTATTGCCACAGCACTCATCACAAAGCAAACATTAACAACACTTAACTTACGCTCCAACGAAATATCAGATGATGGAGCTAAAGCTATTGCTACAGCACTCATGACAAATCAAACATTAACAACACTTAACTTATGGAACAACAAAATATCAGATGATGGAGCTAAAGCTATTGCTACAGCACTCATGACAAATCAAACATTAATAACACTTAACTTACGCTTCAACGAAATATCAGATGATGAAGCTAAAGCTATTGCCACAGCACTCATGACAAATCAAACATGAACAACACTTAGCTTAGCCTACACACGCCGTACAACGTAACTCGTCACGCTGATTCCGAATATGTAAAAATCTGGAGGTAGACTTCTCTAGAGAAAAACCATCAAGTTTTGATATGTTTCATCCGTTCTATTAATTTACCAGGCTTTTTTTGCTACAGTTAGTAGGCTCAAGATTTTCAAGTCGATATATTTTAAGTTACTTGTTGTGTCCGAAAAGTAATTGTATTGCTGGAAAGTCTTTTCTGGACATGTGAATATTCTCCCTTCAAGAAAAGAAACAGTTTCATTTTCGAGGGAGTTCCCTTTGAATTTACACTCCGATTTTTGAGGATACCGGAAGTGCTTTCGGCTATAATTTGACACTATCTTCTAGCCTACGTCACCCGCGAAGCAGGGAGGACAAACCACACAAGACTTTTCGGTTTGAAACAAAACTTTGAGTTTTGAACGTAAAACCTGACCTATTAAGTGATGATTTTCTCTAAAACGGAAAAAAACACATTTGTCTAAATTTGTCAGAATTATCTGTTGAATATGGACTATCGATTGATGAGATCATTCGAAAAAAAAACAGCCCAATACCACATTTTTCGACCGACATTTTTCCAGTGAGGTAGACATAGCTAGTCGATTACTAAAAGTCCCTCATATTTCACTCATTTTTCATACTTTTTGAAATCTGATATCAGATTCGTGATCAGCGAAAGAAACTGCATCAGAATCATATTTAGAAGTCCTGTATCACTGGGACCAGTCTCTAGAAAATAGATCAGAACCAAACCGAGTAGGCAAAAATGTGACATTCGTTCAATGTTTACTGGCTTTTTACCCAAGAAAACACACATTTTTCAATTATACATCATTTTGAACCTCATAAAATTTACTACAAACTGAGCTAGTTAGAATATCTAGACTGGTGGGGTCAGTCATCGAAGACATGCAAAAGAAATGTTTGGGTGTTACTTATGCAGTACAACGTGTTTCATATTTATAGAAACCCCTTTGTTTTTGATCTTTCTCGTTCCAAATAATAGCTGGAACAAATCTGAATACTGATTTGAATAGCCCAGAGATTCTTCTATCAGATGAGCATATCAAGATTTTATAAAAAAGGCTTCATAATAGGGTTTCTGGAAAACCTAAAGCCTAGAAAACCAACTCTTTGGTTTTTGATCTGTAATTTTTTCGAACCATACAGTCTTGCAGAGCAAGGATTTCTGAGCAAAATAAGATGTCTCCCAGTTCTCTACGACGCTTTTTCACCGAGCTACACTCGATTTACGGAAGACTAGAAAGGATCAAAACTCACCAAATTTCCCGAGAACACAGCGCAATATACCGGTGAAAAAGCGTCATAGAGAGCTGGGAGACATCTTATTTTGCTCAGAAATCCTTGCTCTACAAGACTGTATGGTTTTCAAAAACTACAGATCAAAAACCAAAGAGTTGGTTTTCTAGGCTTCAGGTTTTCCAGAAAGTCTTGAAATTCAATTCACTAGTTCATCAGAACAGAACGAAAAACATATATTTTTAGTTGTGTTCCTGTGGTAAAGCGGCGAACAGAGAAGGTTATTAATCGTTATATACAGAGTTCGAATTTCTGCAGGAACTTCTTTTTATTCATTTCCATTCTGTCTATATATACTGGCTGCAACTAGTACTGAAGCGGGCTAGCAGGTTTGCCCCGGTGCAGCTAGCTGCACCCTCTCAGAAAAAAGGTATCCTACAACACCAAGAAAAAGGATATCTGCATTTCTTACTAATAAGAACCAATTTCCGTATCTTAGAACACCTTTTCTGGTTTTCTAGGTTACGTTTACAGGTATTTCTTGCTCATACGTGAAGGAAATTCCGAAAAGTCTTCTGTGGTTTGTCCTCCCTGCTTCGCGGGTGACGTAGGCTAGACGATAGTGTCAAATTATAGCCGAAAGCACTTCCTCTATCCCTCAAAAATCGGAATGTAAATTCAAAGGGAACTCCCTCGAAAATGAAGCTATTTCTTTTCTTGAAATTTCCTGTATGTGTTTCGCGTCTCAATTGAGTGAGGGACGGCAGAAGAAGCAGGACCTAGATCGCGGTGATAATCCGAATTGAAATTCGACGTTTTATTTGATTATATTGTAATGTCTGATATCGGGTCATTCTGGCTTATCGTATTGATCCTAAAATATGTGAGAACATGTTTAAAGCGAAATTATGTTTGTTGTGAGACATTCGCTAGTGAGTTGTAAGTTT